TCGGCCGGGCTGCGGAGCAGGAGGCCGCCGAGGGGCAGGGCGCCGGGGGCAGCCGGCGAGGCGCGGCTCAGCAGGCGCGGCTTCTCCAGGAGGTCCCTGGGGAGACAGACGCCATCACTTCGGGGTCTCCGGCCCCCCAGGGCGGGGCCCGGCGCCTGGGCGTGGGGTCCGTGGCGCGCCCCTCGCAGAAGCCGCCTTGCCCCTTGGCCAGCAGGCCGGAAGCACACTTGGACCCGAACCACCAAGCTCCTCCCGAGACACTGGACCGGGATGACCGCCAGCAGGGCCTTGGGGAGCTCTGAGGGAGGGGCGCAGGGCTGGGGCCTCCCGGAGGGCACTCCGCCTCAAAGCCCCGCCCCCTTCCTCCGGCGGAAACTGCCCCCCCATCGCGCCCTCAGGCCCGGCAGCCCGGGCCCTGGGCCTTCCTCCTGGGCTCCCCATGCGCCCCCCAGAAGCACGGCCTGTGGGCCAGGAGACTCCCATCACCCACCTCCCAGACTGCGCCCCCATCCCCGCGTCCCCCGGGACTCCACCCGCGCCCGGGTGTGACCCCCTCAGCCCTCCCTCCGACAGTGGGGGTGGGAGGCTGGGGGGCGCTGCTTCTGTAGCCGTCTCTGACCCGTGGGCGTCGTGGCCCCAGGCCCAGCAGTGTCGGTGGGCAGCGCTCTCAAGACCCGACTATGGCTCCCAGGAAACGCCCCAAATTCAGGGGACTGGGAAAAATGGATGGAGGGAATGTGGGCGGCCACAGCCGGGGTGCCCTGAGGGTCACCGGGAGCCCAGTGACTGCAGCGAAGCGTCCAGGAGTCCGGGGCCCATGGGCCCCGTCCTGTGGGCACTAGAGGCGTGAAGACCTCTGCCAAGGCCCAAGATCCCTGGGGTGGAGGGCGACGCTGTCTTTGCAGCTTCTGAACTTCCGCATTTAAGACAAACCAGTGCTCCCCTCAAACCACACGGGGCTGCGCAGCCTCTCATGCCACGGGATGCCAGCAAGGTGCCTGGAGGCAGTGGGGGTCCAGGGCCGGGCCTCTCCAGCCTCCTGCAGCACCGCTGCCTGCCCAGCCCGGGCCATCCCGCAGCCCACTCCAGCCCAGCAGTCTCTGGCCTCCTGCAGCCCACCCCTCCCAGAGGGCTCCTGCCCCTGGGGTGCTCCCCTCGGCAGGTGCGGGTATCCCTCCTCCTCCCCCACCCCCTTTTCAGTGAGAACTGAGAACTGGGCGACTCTTCGCCCACCCTGCAGCCCCCGGGCACCGCAAAGCCGGGCTGGGCGGGGCCGCACTCACCGCTCCCGTTCCTCCCTGCCCTTGTCCGGCTCTCGATCGTGGTTGGTCAAGGCGGAGACCCGCTCAGCGTCCATGGACTTGGGCCACGGCGGGGGCGTGGGGAAGGAGGGTGGGGCGCGATGCAGCCGATTCCAGGCCTCGGGGGGGTGAAGGCCATGCATGGAGCCCTCCTTGGGGGCAAAGATGCTGCCGCTGGGAGCTGGGGTGGGAATGGGGCAGAGGCCAGGGAGCATGAGGCCCAAATGTCGTCCCGCCCCCACCTCCACCTGCTGGCTGGTCCCCAGAGGAACCCCACAGATGTGCCGGGAGGATCCCAGACACTGGAGGGAGGCGCCAGGGAGGTCTAGCCCAGGGAGGGGCAGAAGTCAACCAGGGTCAGGGTCTCCCGGGGGACAGAGCCACGAGGGGAGATCAGCCAGGGTCGGGGTCCCCAGGAGGACAGGGATGGGGAGTGAGCCAGGGTTGGGGTCCCCACGAGGACAGGCATGGGGATACCCCAGGCAGGTCACTCACCCAGTGCGTGGCTGCCCAGGCCCCCGAAGGCGTGGCTGCCCAGACTGCTGAGGCCACCCAGGCCTGCGAAGGTGCTGGGTCTGCTGAAGGGGTCTGTGGGGGAGTTGGGGCTCAGGGCCTACGGGCTGGGCTTCGGCTCCCAAGGCTGTGATCTGGCAGGTGCTGCCTGTGCTCCAAGGCTCCCTGGCTCCGGGTTACCTTCCCACCCACCTGAGTCCCCCAACCCAAGGTCCACTGTGGAGGCCAACCAGGCCACATGGGCACCCACCTGTCAGGTGCCCCGCGGGCAGGAAGCTGCCAGGATGGGCTGAGGGTCCAAATGGGTTGGTGGCAGGATGGGCGGCACCTGGGGGGTGGGGTGGGGAGCCGGGTTGGCAGAGGCTAGAGAGCCAGGCCAGTCTGCAGCGAGGCTCCAAGGGCGAAGCGCCCGGCTTCTCTGGGAACCTTCGCCTCCTGTGGGTGCAGGTGCCCCATCGGGGTAAGAGCCTGGAGGACAGGCAGCTCTGGCTACAAAAGCAGCCGTCCTGGACCCACCGGAGAGGTTGCTGGCTGCAGGAGACCCCCCAGACCAGAGAGCCAAGACTCAGGCAGAGACAATGTTCATGTAAGAATGGCGTGATGGCTGCTCCCTGGAGCCTCCTGCCTGGAGAGCCGGTGGACAGTCCTGCAAAAAGGACGGGCCTGGGCCTCGGGCCTGACAACCACAGGGCTGGCCACAGCATTAGTAAAATATCATGGCCAGGTGTGGTGGTACGTGCCTGAGTCCCCACTGCTCAGGAGGCTACAGTGAGCCATGACTGCACCATGGTACTCCAACGTGGGTAACACAGCAAGACTGTCTCTTAAGAGAAATATATTAGCCAGACATGAACTACCCAGGAATAATCCCACTCACACGGGAACAGATACACCTCATTTGTGGACAGGAAATGGCACCCACTCTCCAGTGGATTCCAGAAAACCGCAAGTGTCTGGTGGAGCCTAGCAGGCAGGCTCAATGCTCACACAGAAGGGAAACGGCAACAGAGGCCACTGGCCAGGTGTGGAGACCCCATGGGGGCAGGAGGTGCGGCACTGGCCCAAGGGACAGAGGAGCCCAGCCTCAGCAGGATACCGGTGTCAGGACGGGCCAGGCAGGAGCAGGCTGGGGTGCTCAGGCCCAGCACTGGGCCCTTCCTGAGCTGGTGTCCTGGGGGCTGGAGCCGGGCTGCTGCCCGCCAGGGATTCTGGCCTGAGTCTCGGTTTCTGAAAAACCAGGCTGCCGGGAGGGCCCATGCCCAGAGGCTACCATGCTCGTGAGGCTAGCCTGTGTGGCCACTGTCCACACCTGTCATCCCGTGTGCTGACAGCTCCAGAGGTGAGAAGACAGTGCCCAACTACAGGCAACACACGTCCAGGCAACGTAGAACAGGTCGTGGTGAATGTGTCGAGACGGGGAAGGGGCCCCGAGGTGAAGGGCCCGAAGACCTGGTGGCCCCGCACGTGTGTGTGTGTGTGATGTGTGCGTGCTGTGTATACAGCTGACCCCTGAACATGGGCCTGAAGTGGGTCCACCAGCACAAGGGCTTTCTTCACCCGAGGTAGCAAGACTCGCCCCTCCTCCCCACCAGGCAGAGCTGCCCAGGGTCTCCATGAGGCCCCGCCACCCTGATGAAGAGCAGACGCCAGGCTGGGCTCAGTGGCTCAGCCGGTAATCCCGGCAGTTTGGGAGGCTGAGGTGAGTGGATTGCCTGAGTCTGTGGGTTCAAGACCAGCCCTGGCAACTTGGCGAGACCTCATCTCTACAATAAATAAAACATTAGCTGCCGGGCTCGGTGGCTTAGCCTGTAATCCCACGCCTTTGGGAGGCTGAGGTGAGTGGATTGCCCGAGCCCGCGGGTTCGAGAC